TAACAAAAAAATATAATTTTTGTTAAAGAGTTGTAGCCTATATTGCGGTTTGTTTAGAGATTAACAATGCTGCTAGAACTTCTCTAAAAGGATATTTGATATACAAGCCAAAAGCATTATTATACAAGATAACTGGCAGAAAGTAGCACTTTTGTATAAAAAATCTTGGTAAAACCCAACTTTGTTAACAAAGCTTTTAGGTCATTACTTCAAAGAAGAACATAAAGGAAATAACAAAAATATTTTTCTTCAAGCTGCTTTCGTTTTATTTGGTTAAGTAGTTCCTCTTTTACTTTTTCTCGTCTCCTGTTAGTCTTTTAAAAAATTTTAACAAAAAGTAAAGATTTGGCTTATCCCTCCAAATGATCTACTTTGTTTACTTCCCAAATCCAGACAGTTTAGTAAAATGCAACTACATGTTTGTTTATTGAAGAATATAGTGCTACTTCACAGAACTCAGCCTAAAAACTCTAATTGCGCAAAAGGTAGCTTGTGATACAGGTCCTCAGACAATAAAACTATCTGAATTCAGTAAGAGAGTTAGAAAATAACTTTAACATTAAGGCAGAGCTTTACAAGAGAAATATACAAATATTGCATTTGTTATATAATTTTTACCAACTATGCACAGGTTATAATAGTGTCTTTAAAGTCTTGGATTTTTTTTTATATTTTTTCTTTTTTGGAATTTGTGTGTTTTTTTTTTTTTTTTGTTTGTTTTCTTTTTTGGTCATTTTTGTAGTTTCTTGGTTTAAACTTTTCACTTTTTTGTCTTGTGCCTCTTGAGAAAAAAAAATAAAATTAGAAGAAAAAAGAAATTCTGAGGTAGGAGCTAAGCTCAGGCTAAACTATATTGTAGAAGCTAAGCCCAGACTAAACTACAGTATATCTTTAAATATATCATGCCATATATAGAGTATAGTGGCCAATATTAATACGATAATCAAGGTTGAGCATCTTTAAGAGATAGTTAGCTTTTTGTCTAATTATCTTGTTAAATAGCTTGGTAACACTTTTTTTGATTTTTTCCTTTTACCAAATATAAGTTTTTGTGCCTTGGATGATTTTGGTGATAATCAAAACTTATTGCCTTATTTACTTGTAAATCTGATTTTCAAGAAAGCAAGAATAAGCCATAATTTAATGAAAATTTTTTCTTTTGAGTTTGAATAAAGTCATTAATTTTATGAAGTAAAGATAAAAAAGAGATATATTTTGTAATTAGAATTTAATTTGAATTTGAATTTGAAATTTGGGTTTGGAATTTGGAATTGAGATTTGGGATTTTGCCAAAATTTAGGATTTAACCAAGATTTGGAATTATAACAACTTAAATAAAATTTTTTCAGTTTGGGATTTGGGTTTATCCAATTGAAATTTGGGTTTGGATAGGATTTTGAAGATTTTTAGTTTTGCCAACAAGTATAGTTATAAGCTAATTAGAACAGCTATAGTTAAGCTAGTTTATCCAACTAAGCCAGTTAAAATAATATGATCAGCTGGCTAATGTGGCTAAGAGTTACATGATTTATAAATAGTAAAATTATATTAAATTCTGAAAAAGAAAATGAATAAGTATAAATACTTTGAAAAAATTTCCAAAGTATTCTGAAAAATATAGTAGACTATTGGTTGGGTATTAGCTAGCCACTTAGCCAATATTTTAGTCAGCTGGCTTAGCCAGCTGACTAAAGTTATGTGGCTTATAACACTAAATCTATTTGATTTTGTTGCAATCAATATCAAGACAACTTTTAATAGATTCAATAAATCTGATTGGTTCACTTGTTCAAATTAACCAATTAGATTCTTTATCTAATTTATTAAGAGATACTTGAGAATAATACCCTTAGTTGATATTAAAAAAAAAACAGTTTAATCACTAAGTAAAAACATTGATCTAATATAAGCTTTGACTAGAGATGTAGACGAATTGTTCCAATAACTGCCATAACTAGTTACAACATAAGTTTTAGCTTATTACAGCTTAAACTGTAATATCATTGGGATATTATTGTAGTGTTACAAGCTGGCTGGAGCAGCCACGGCTAAGGCAGCTTAGTGGCTAAGCCAGCTGATGTAATATGATCAGCTGCTAATGCGGCTTAATATCACATGACTTTGATAGTATAATTTAGACCAGAACGATAATGTCAGCCAGAATTAAAAAACAAAAAGTAAGAATCCGAAGAAAAAATAAACTAATATCAAAGATAAGCGAGGTTGAGAAAAAAATTAAAGTAATTTTTGATATTTTCCGAAGTAAAAAATTTGTGCTTACCTTAGCCATTAGCCAGCTGCTAAGCCAAATTTTTTATCAGCTGGCTTAGCTAGCCGATAAAAACCTTATGGCTTGTAACACTACATCATTGGAATGATTCACCTGCACCTCTAGCTTTGACCAATTAAATCGATCAAAAAAACTCAAGAAACAGACAATTTTATAATTCTAAAATCCAAAATCCATTGAAGTGATTTGAATCTACAGAAATCTATTTGATACCACTTTAGGAATACAGTCAACCCTTCCTAAGTGCACCCCTCTTGGGATCATAGGCAAAATTTTCAAAAATGTGCATTTAGAGAGGTGTGCATTTACAGAAGGCATTTTATTAAGAGTTCTATATACTTGGGAATAAGTATTAGCATGCATTTAGAGAGTGCATACATAGTTCGTGCATTTATGGGGGTGCACTTAGGGAGGGTTGACTGTAGTGAAATTAAGACTTGGACATATATTTAATGCCATTGCTCAAAGATCATGATTTATACCCGGGTATAAATTAAGCTTGGTGATTAATGATGCCTAGTAAAAGCGAACTTTTAAATAACACAACTCAAAGTAGTATTATCTCGAGTTTCTATTTTTAATAAATAAAAAAATGTATAATTTATCACAATATTATATATTGCTATCTTATAACTTAACTTCAGTAATGATGAACTAAATCAACACAAATAAGAAGTGAATAATTTATAGTATCTTAAAACTAAATCATGAATAAGAAAACCTTTAATTAACAAAACAAATATTATACTCAAATAAAAAATGCAAATAAGAAATTAAATGCGAGATAATAGCATATTTTAAGTAAATGTAAATAAGCAAAAATTAAATCGTTTAAGTATTTAATAGCTTATCTGAATAATTTCGATTAATAAATCTAAGCAATTTGCAAAGATGATTGTCATAGGAATAATTACCAAGTTATTTAATGGAGGTTATTATTTTTATGTCACTAAAGCAATCTTTTTTTATTGTTTTTGTGAGATCGTCTAAGCTATGATGCGAAGATGGGAATAATTGCTTAAGTTATTTGGCTGAGATAGTTTTTCTATGTCCACAAATGTATACTATTTATACTATATATTTAATAAAAAGATATATAATAGGAATAATAACAGTGAAAAAATCCTAGTAAATAACATAAATTCAGAAAATAATGAAAGAAGTTTATCAAATGAGTGTCGCAAAGAAAAAGTCAGTTATTCTTATTAGATGAAGATTCCCTTTGCGACACTCGAATAATAATAGTTCATCAGACAGTACCAAAAATAGTTTATCAAATAATAGTCGACCCGGATGTTAACGAAAATGATATTGATTATATTAATGTTCCAAGCTGATTTAACGCTTAACCAGCCACTTAGCTTTTTATCTGGTTGATAATTTTATCAACCGGCTAGTCATAATGTTCATTACTGATGCCTATGTATCAAGAAAGTACTTTAAATATTATTTTACTCTTTTGATGTATAGTTTTTTAAACTAACAAATTTAGTAATCTAGTTATTTGTCAACCCAGACTTAAAATTTACATATTAGGAAATTCTATTACGAAATTTCTAACGCCTTAGCCAAGTCATAATCCATATTCTTGAGTGGACACTCCACTCTTAACGCAAGTTTTGTTGCATAATATTATACATATAACGATTTATTACAATTCCCGTTCATCAAAATTTTCAAAATTCGAATACTCAATTGACCCATATGACAAGATCATATTGTACAAACGTGTGAATCTGCATGAATTATTCGTTATTGCCAGAATTCGGTTTATAGAGAAAAGCGAATATGATATCTTTAAGTTCTTATCATATTTCATCTTTGTTTTAGATAAAAGATCTAAAGGTCAAAGTATTTTTACGTTTCGATCTAATAAAGTTGCAACCTATTATAACCTTTAGGTTGAATTAAGATGTCACATTCAACTACTATTGATGTACAGTACCTTAGTACTCCTGTATTTAAACTATACTATTTAAAACTATTAGCGTATTGTATATTTTCGTTGGAGTTGGAATCATAACTGTAATTGCTATTTAAACTCCCAGCCAAATTCTATTATTATTTTAGCTATAAACCATTTTTACAAATTTTTAATATTACTTTCTTCGAAGCTTGGCCGTTTGTCTATTTGGAGAGATTTAAAAACATAATTGATTACTCTTCTAGAAGTATAGTACATCAATGTTATCAAAGATAATAAGGTAAGCATATGAAATCGAGTCACAAAAGTTCTTGAACCACCAATTAAAAAAAAAACACTTTATTAAAGCAAAGAAAACCACTCTAATAAACCTTCATAAAAAAAAAAAAAAGATGCCAGAAACATTACATTATTACAGTATAATTATTAAAAGTTCTAATTTACATCCTAAATAATTCTCGAACATCGTCTAAGTTTAAATTAAACATTAATTATTAACCACAAAACACAAAGAACCGTTATCTTCCCTTTGATAAATTCAGAACCTCACTTAACATAACCCACCCAAATAATAGTAAAATAATAGTATAATAGTAAGAATAGCGGTGTAGTAATAGTAATAATAATGATAATAAGTCAAATCTTAGGGTAAAAAAAAAAAAAAAAAAGGAAGAGATTATAAATAGGTTTATATGGTTGAGTAATAAATTAATAATAATAAAGGCAATTAATTTAATAATGAAAAAAAAAAAACCAAATAAAACCATTAAAATAAAAGCCAAGTTTTTACATGACTTCAAGTTTGTAAAGTCCATTTATTCTCATCCCTTTATCATGAGTTAACCCATCATAATGAGAATCAGAAGCTGCTTGATTGCCAACCAAAGAAAAAAAATCACCGCCAATTTTGTGAGTTGAAGAAAATAATTTAGGCTGAACAATATTATGTAATTGATGACAAGAACTATTTTTATTGAGTAAATTATTCTCATCATTATTAATTGAAGGAGAAAATTTATTCATAGAAGAAATTTCAGGTGGTGTTAAAATTGGATTAAAAGCTTCATCACCATGCCACAATTCATCACGTTCATCAACTGGAGAAGAATATAGCGAACTTGAATTAGCTTTAGTGAAATGACCAATAGATAATTGATTTAGAGCATGTTGAGAACTTCGATTAAATTGAGGAGTAGGTGGGGTATAATAATTTGGAGTTGTTGGAGCGCTATAATAATCCCGTTTTGGTAGAGTTCGAAAAGACTTTGAGTGAGAAGCATCATTATGATTTGACCAAATTTTAGGGCTAAGATGATTAGCAGAATAATGAAAAGGAGAAGGAAAAAGATAATCCCGATCAACATATTTAGGAGGAGTACCCGACGGAGTTAACGGATAACCGGTCAAAGAGAAATCATTTAATTTTTCATCGTTAAGAACATTAGATAATCTTTGCTCATTAACCGTAGGTAAGAAAGTATGATTAAGAGAAAGACTAGGAGATTTAGAGAATAAAGAAAAGGTAGATTGAGAAGGAGCTGAACTTGACATTGTAGAAGAAACCGAATAATCACAAGTGGCAAGTTTTTTAATAGGAGGACCAATGGGTTGAAATCTTGGTTGCTGAGGGGATAAATTTTTTGAAAAACTAGTCTGTCTTGATAAAGAAGGAGTTGTGGATGAAGAACCTCTTTTTGTTTCTATCAAAGAAGACAAAGAATGGTTTAAATTTGATTCAAAATTATTTTGATAATGTAATTTATAGATAGCATTATCTAATTCATGACGTTTCATTTGAAGTATCTTTCGTTCTTCTTCTAACATTAATTGTCTTTCCGCTAATTCATCATCATCTAATAAAGAATTCATAAGATTATTTGGGGATAACGGTGAAGCAAACGGATCGATAGAACTTGGGGACGAAGGAAAGCCAGGAGTTGAAGATATTGGAGATGACATATCCCAATCCGAATCTAAGGGAAAAAAAAAAATTAACATTAAAATTAAATGAGCGAGTACAAAACAAAGGAATAAAAAATAAATGTATAATATATATATATGTATATTATATATATACGAACCGCTTTTAAAACCAAATTTTGAGGAAGAATCATCAATCATAGTTAAAGGGTCATCAAAACTTAAATGCAAGTCCTCATCTTGACCAGATAAATCAAATCCAGAATAAGGTATCCCGGTATAAGGAGAAGGTAAAGAAGCCAATCTGTGATGACCAGCATAAAAGGAACCAGGATTACGCTTGTTTTGTAAAGTATGACGAGTTGGCAATGATGGGTGAGAAAGGGACCGATGGTGCGAGCGAACTATTTAAAATAAAATTGAGTACAATTTTTTTTTTTAAAAAAAAAATACAAAACCAAACATAAGATATCGTACCATTCACTCTTCTCTGTGACGATAAATAGTTTGAAGAAAACCCGGAATGCATCCGCCCAGGGGATCCATGGTACCGATTGTTATAAGAATTGTTATTTGCCTTTGCATTTTCCAACATTCTTGAAATATTTGAAATTTCTAAATTATTAAATAATTCTTGTGATCAGTATGATCTTATCCATTGTAGTAAAATGATACAAAGATTATAGTACCATCAAATTGAGATTTAAAAGCGACAGCTTCATCGTCCTGAGAATCTAATATTTTTTTTTCTTGAGAATCTAATATTTTTTTTAAGAAATAAAATAAATAAATTGTAGGGCCAATACATTTATTTAAAGGTTGTGCTTACCGATCGAAACGTTTACTTTATCGTTGTTCTGTCGATCATCAGTAGCATCCGCATTGACAATAGAGGCATTATCAGCGGTTATTTTTATAGTAATTCCATTTCCGACGATATCATCTGTATTTGAAGTAACTCCGGACGAGACATTGACATTATTGATTTCATCAGATTTTTCTTGTAGACATTCGGAGTCAGAAGTACTATCGACTAAACTCGCACTGCGAGCATTTGCAGCATCAGTCATCATTATTTAACGTTTCTTCTTCAAGAGGAGAGAAGCAAGGCGGCAATGAGAGAACGAAGTAACGATTTGTCTTTGCAAGACACGTCGAAGATTAATTTGTTTTTAAAAATAATTATATACTGTAATTTATAGATTAAAATCTGAATTCCGGTTATTAAGGCATAAAGCGAGAAGATAATTAAAGTGGTTCTTTACTTAAACTTTATAAGTCAAAAAAAAAAAGAAAAAAGGTTTTTATTTTATATTTATTAAGCAAATCGTTATTGGATTCTCTAAAATATTTTTCACTGCGTCTTCTTAATTTGAAGTCTGTTCTTAGACAAACAAAAAATTAAAATTTATTCTAAAATAATAATAATAATAATAATAATAAATAAATAATAATAAATAATAAACAAAAAGTGAGATAAGAGAGCAGACGTACTTTGAAAGAAGAGCATATATACGCCTTTAACGCTAAAAAATGATGATGATGATCGCAGCGAAAGTCTTGTTTTTCAAGACAAATTCCCAATTTTGGGAGATATTTAGATTGACAGGTCAGTAATAGCCCATTTAAAGAATAATTTTTAACCTCTGTTTAAATATTTAAAGGCTGCTGCGGACATCCTACTATGAGTAACGGAACTGTCACTAAGATTTCATTCAAAACAGTATTTCCAATGAATAAAAAACTTCTTTAAAAATTATATTAGTATAAAAGATTATCAATTCTAATTTTAGATTTCAATTTCCGAACGTAATATATAAATAGTTCGACGTCCGTTAGCTTTGTGCTGTTCAATAAAGCGATAGAATAAGTATTTTGACTAAATTAAATGGTAACGGTATGAACCAAATTTTAGAAGTTATCATCATTAATACTCTAGAACATTAAGCTAATCTCGAGTTGACATTTATTTGTTTACCTTTTTTGAAATGTTAAGCGTATCACATATCAATATTTGTTAAAACATTTATACTTGTATGCAACTTTATTCTGCTACATAATTTGATCCCATGTGTAAATCACTTAGCGCATTTATTTTTAATGACTTATATGACTGATTCAAAGATTTTCTTCGGAGGTGGTCCTCTATAAGGTTTAGTTATTGACCTGATTTCACACGATCTAGAATTCCTTGATTTTTTACTTTGAGTATTTTTTCCTTTGATTCATATGTAGTTTAACTTCCACTCATTCTTATCCTACGTAACTGTATCGAACTTTTCTTTAGTATTTTATTCACGATTAAGTGTCGAATATACTCTCGATCCTATCTATCCCTCGTATTCTTACATGCTCTGCCTCAAAAATATACTCAAATAACATTGTAACCAATTTAAGATAATGTCAATGACTGGTAAATAAATTTTTGTTTTACAAGAAATTTTCCTTATTCTATATATATAAATATCACTCAGTCTTAAAAGACCGCTTGTCTTTCCATCTTTTAAACAAATGGACTACTTATTGTTCTAATATAAATTTGCTTATGATAGCCTGATTATCGCTTAGTAAAAAAGGTCTTAACGTTCCATATAATCTTTTAAATCATTCATACATAATAAAACCTAAAAATTTGCGTTCTCATACAATTACTCAATCTCTATTTTTCTGCAAATCTTAAATTTATTAAATCTTTTCAAAATTTTCAAACACTCTTGTACCAATATAGAAATTGTAACAAATCTTGTTTATCTTATACCTGATCTGCCCATTTCTCAACTTATGATAAAGTTTTGAATCTGATTACTCTTGCAATCATCGGTTTGTCATTCTGTCATTCTTGCATTATTTTAGGTGTTATTTATACATGTGGTTGAAATAATAATGTTCACATGTGAATTTTGATAAAAGGAAATTTTTAATTCAAATTTTCTGCTAAATGGTTTAACCAAGTCAACTGTTTAACAAATCTGTGAATTTAGTTTCTCATATTAAAAAAACCATATGTTATAAATTTTAAATGCGGTTAATTACAATAAAAGTAACCCTCCTGATTTTGAACTGATAATTTGGCGGGTATTGTGCTTTAAGAGATTCTTCCACTTTAGATTACAAAAATCTCAATTAGGGATCTAATTTTATTGCGGTTTGCAAAATTGTGTGACCCCTATGATTAATTTTTTTATGATTAAATGATTGTGATTGCGATCGCGATTGCTAAAACCAACCAATTTATCATGAGTCTGAGTTTGTGTCAAGCCCAGATTCATGATGAATTGGCTCGCTTTAGGGATCGTCTAAAGCCAGGTATATGTACCTCAGTGATTTTTAATTTACAAATTTGTTAGTAATCAATTTAAAAACTACCTGGCCTCTGGCAATCATTTAATCATAAAAAAAAAATAATCATAGGGGTCACACAATTTTGCAAACCACAATAATATAGATTACCTCATTAATAAACTATATATATTATTTAATCAATTGATTTTAGAATAGGGTCATCTATACTAGAGGTTTAAAAATTCTGCATCATGTTGTGGAAGACATTATATAGCCAGTTCTATAATATATATGTATATTAAGCAAATATAAATACGTATATGAAAAAGCTTTGTTTGTATAATAAAATTATATTATTGTTATAATATTATTAAGATAAAATATTATTATTATCTAATTATACATCTAATTATAAATGTCATGGGGTGAAATGAATCGCGAACACGAAATGAGACAATTAAAGGTTAAATTTAGTTTTAGGCAACTCGCCAGTAGTGTGCGAAATTCAATGTTCTCTGAGAATGTTAATCAAATTTTAAGAACATAGTTTATTAAAATTTGTTCTCTATTTGAGAACATTAAATAAAATTTTTTTATTATAATTAAATTTTTCTATATTGAGAACATTAAAAGATTTTGAAAACGTAAAATCAAAATTGAATTTTATGCAATGAAATCTATTAGATAATTTATAATATATTAACCCGGAGGTTCTGTTCTTTAACAAGAGAAGAAATACAACTTTTTTATAACCTTTACACTACTATAAGATTTGAGAGGCTTTTTTAATAGATTTAATGCTCCATGCTTATAATATGGCCTATTCTATTAAGCCTTCGGATATTACAAATAAATAGTTTGTAATGTTTTCTTGAAGTTAGTATGTTTTCAAAGTTATGAGTTTACTATGCCAATCTGAACCGAACTGAATTTTAGTCAAGTTCAAGTTCAATTCAAAAAGTAAACTAAATTTAACTATTTTTTAATATATTATTTAGCTAGAATTTACTTTAGTTTAGTTTAATTTAAAAAAGTTCAAAGCTTATAAACATCTTTATTTCAATAAAATATATATTATAAAGATATTAATAGATATTATTTTTTTATTTTTATTTTATTTTTTGGCTATTCTGTTTATTAACTAAAGAATGTATATACAATATGGTATAAAAAGGCTTCTAACTAAAGTCTTCTACCTTTCTTTTTCTATAATAAAAATCACCTGGCTGTACTAAAGTGTCCGGATATAATCTGCTATAACAAATATTTTTCTTCTTTTAGAATCTCAAGTTTCTTTTTTGGATTTATAGATAGTGTTTGCTATTGCCTTTTTTTTAATTTTTTTTTTTTTAAAATGGCAAATAAAAAAAGAAAAATAAAAAAATGTAACTATATATAAAAAATAAAAGAAAAAACAAACAAAACAATATTATTATAATTTATTAATAGATATTATTTAAAAAGTAAAAAGTGTGGCAACTTAGTGTAGTGGTCTAGTTATTACTCTCTTCAAGCGGCAGGTCTAGAGTTTGAATCCCACTGACAATGACTTTGAAAAATAGGCCTGTGTATAGTTGACAGTGATTTATTGATAAAATTTATAACTTTAGTTATACTATCTAGTAATGGAAGCTTCGGTACAATAAATCTAGAGGACTGGAATAATTAAAAATCTGGTTGGCAGGTTCTGAGTTTGGAAGTAGCAATGATCTTTAATGATATCACAAGAAGGCTAAATTTGAACTGGGGCCTGAGATTGGAGAACCAAGCGATTAGGTTCTTAAATGAAAAAACACACTAGCTGAACTACTGGGCTGACATACTGAAGTAAAAGGGCATATACTCTAAAAGTATAAACCAAGAAAAGAGTAACTATGAAACATTTAAAGCCTAGACAGATCAACTTTACCGAGTTGTCAGCTGGAAGTAAAGGAGGGACTGATAAGGAATCTGAGTAAGAAAACAGTCTGAATATAGGTATCAGAGTTGTTGTAAACTGAATAAGAGCAAATAAGTACATAATGGGCACCTAATTAGAAAGGTTGGTGCTTAAGAAACATTTATAGAATAGCAGTATTCCAAAAGGTGATGTGAGATACATATACAATATATACTAATTAGAAAGAAATTATAGGAACATGCAAGTAAATATATGTGTGGAACATATACTACTTTGTTAAATGTACCTTGAGGATAAACTAGCTTAATTGATAATCTGCCAGTCACCTGGTGCATGATCATAGTGTAATAGACACAGATTACTATATAAATTACATAAGCAAGAAATATGGAGATTTTTGATAATTATTCAAAGAAAATATTTTTTCATACTAAGTTAATCAACAAGGTCGATTAATTGAAAGTTGTAAAGCTCACTGAGACGCATCAAATAGTGGTTAAATTATCTAAATCGGCCTAGTGGTTTGCGAGATATCACTAAAAAACAATTGGCCAACTATATAAAATCTTTATATAAACAATAGTTTGTTTATATAGAGATTTTATATAGTCGGCCAATTATTTTTTAATGATATCTTGCGAACCACTAGGCCGATTTGGATGATTTAACCACCATTAGATGCGCCCCAGCGAGCTCTACAACTTTCAATTAATCAACTTTGTCGATTAACAAAATGGTTTCTTTGAATAATTGTTAAAAGATCTCTACATTTCCTGCTTATATAATTTACATAGTGATCTGTATTATATTACACTATGATTATGCATCAGGTAACTGGTGGATTATCAATTAAGTTGATAAGTTCTAAGGTAGGAGCAGTATCTGTAT